TCCACATTGTGTATATCGTAAAGATGGTTTTCAGCTCGAAGAGTGGACAAGAGATCTGCCAATGATTAAACTGGTAATGGAAACGAGGTCTTCAGCTGGTTTTTGTGCCACTATGATCATGCTATATAAGAGATTCTCGGAAAGTGTATTAATCTTGTTACACCCGCTCTTGATGGATTGGATAAATGTACTACTAATCTGAGAATGAGACGAAATGTTCCCGTTAGACGACAACGAGCAAACTCTATAGTCTGTATAGAGTTTGAGAGACAAATTAACGTGCTCCAACACCGATAGGTTCGTTTAGAGTCTATACGAACCTATCGGTGTTACAGCACGTTAATTTGTCTCAATGCTTATGACTAAGTCCGTTAGCAAAATTCTGGAACTGTGTGGTCCTAATCTAAATCAGGAGCCCAGACTTTTCATAATGCGCTGCACGTACGACACACGGAGAAGTTGAGGTGCAGTTCCCGGTTTATGGATACTCTTCCTGTTCATCGCCACAAATACACGACTGCTTGTTATTTGCTCACTAGCATAAAGTGGGACCCTTTCAGCCTTACCTGGTGTGTATCACTTACAACAACACAAGTTTATTTCTAGTGCCCTGAATGAGAATCTTACATCACAAAAGACACATTTGCAATATCCATGTCTTGTGTTGATACATCATTCCGTTCACAAAACTTGGATAACTTGGAGGAAGCGACAACAACGAGGATATTTGTTCACCGCGTTATTCAAAAAATGCGAGCTCCTGACACTATCTTGAGTTAAGACAGTTTCAGGACTCTTAACACATTAAGCAGAGAAGTAAAAGAAGCGAAACTGCAGAGAATTTCAGATCATTGGGTCTGCACATCCAGCTGAAAGTCTGGTGGTACAGAGTTAAACCTCCCAATAATGTCACCTCTTTTGAGTGACATGAAAGTGTGGAACCATTAGTTTCTAACGTATAAATTTGTTCAATAAGAACCGTACGTCACTATTGACAATAGTGACATGAGAAGATTCAAAAGTGACATGGTGGAACTTTAATGACTATCATAATTATCGAAAGTATCCGTTCATAATTTCCGGATTTAGAATTCTATTTTTTTTCTATGCTTCAAGTGAGATTGAATCATGATTGTAACTATATTATGAGAATATTGAATGCGTCAAATGTTAACTGCTCTTGTTATCATCTGCTACTTTTCTTTGACAGACATCAAATATATGTCTAACAAGACAGGTCCGAAAAATACGTCGATGTTCTGATTTTATTCTCAGAGCATAAGTTAAGGAAGTGTGCTATGAATTTCGCGATGAAACATATCTTATCAAAATTGATATCATTTTGCACATCATTTGTACAAAGGTTGTTCCAGGATGGCGTTAGTGCTAAGACTTGCAGCGGTTAATGGTGGAGGTCTAGTCAAGACAATTTAATTGTACATCAAATAAATGTGTATATAGAGTAACTTCGCTTACCCTGGGTAACCTATCGATGAATTGAACCCAACCATGTCAGTATGTGGATAGCAGATATAAAAATATGATCATACAAAAACACTTGAACCTAGAACTCACTGTCTAAATTGCAACGATGTATTAAGCTGTGTTATATAATTTACATTTTGCATTAGTATGGTACTTTCAATTGTTATTTGACTAGGTATAACCTTCGTTCATAATTGGAGGTTTCGATGGTGATTTCATAAATTACGCAAAAGAACTGTTTTCATCTTACTTGCGCAATCAAGTAGATTACTGCATTTACATAAGTGTTAAATAAATTTCTACTACACATGAATTTCTGAATCACTCATAAATTTAGATGTGAAATTTAATGATGAAATCACCTGAATGTATTGTGTTGATGAGTCATATACTACAAATTGTATTGCAAGATTATATCCAAGAGTATAAACGAGATCTTGCTCATAATATATAGTAGAAAAAGCATAACATAGCTCATATACAACTCTGCAAAAAAATTCACTCAAAACGTTAATCGTGATAATTCAGCGGGTAGCTTGTGATAAATTGGAGGCGTCGCCATGTATTTGTATGATACGTATCATTTGTTTGATTTTGCATGTACAAAATCGTACAAAGAACTCCTGAAAATGACTCTGACCTTCCCCTATTTACCATAGCTTTAACCGTCGTTAGGATTTTTGTTTAGCATGACTTTTGTTTAAGTGCTCGAGTATGTGTCTTCGATGAGTAAGTAGTCCGTTTGTTGGAACATTCAACACAGTTTCTACTCCTGAGTTTTGATCATCGAAGCTCGTTTGCCATTTTATTCTTTTGAGATCCTAATTATCATCCAGTATATTCCAGGCAGTAGGATCCCGGTTCAATGGTCTCTGATCCATCCGCGAACATTCCGAGAACAGGTATTACACAGTTTCTGCACGCATCAAGTTCATAACCTCGCTGACTTGTAGGAGAAGTTGTTATTTGCTAGTCTTATTGGAAGGCAACTGAAATATCCTATTGCATCTTCATCTCGTGTCTCCTCATGTCGAATCTGTGTTTTATTATACAGTTAAGAATTTTTTGCTGATATCTTGCCCATCGGCTTCTAACACCAATCGTGATGATGAAGGACTCCAGTGCAGCAGATATGAGAATTGGAAGATACTGAGAGTATTTGAGTACTGGCATACAAACATAATAAGGAGAGAGGAGAGAGATGTGACTCTTGAGGAACATGAGGTCTTTGCTCTGAAGACGACATTAAGTAAAACCGTGTAAGCTAAGTTTTTGCCTTGAAACATAATTTATTCAGGCAATTTTCAATTTATATAGAACATTCAAGACTTATACTATGATTACGAGAACAAAGAGATGGTGATCCTGAAGGTGAAGGATATGCTGGACATCCACAAGCTGGGTTGCCAATTCCAATCCATCAGGGACGCAGACACAAGCCCGACGGGACCAAGGCCAACTACAGATGCAGCGAAGTCGATTTTCGAGTTGAAACGCTGGGCTCCCACAGCCACTAATATCAGAGGCACGCAGGTCCATCACGTCCAGCAGATGAGCGAGGGTGTGGTGCTGGAGCACGTGCGCGTGCCCGAGCACATGTACGTTTTCCTCGACTGCCAGTAACCAGTAAATGCCTTGAACTTAAATATGTCTGAAGTTATTCTTTCGAAGCCTTGGAGTCTGACAGTGAACATTTCTTGGGTGGATACTAGCACTTATATAAGTAGATATACGTGCCGGTTTATTATAGCTATTCCTATTCCTGCAAAATCCACGAATCGTCTGCAGATCTGTCGCAGTTTACCACTGGGATTCGTATAATTTAACAATCTATTTCAGGGGCCAGAGAGTCTGGGACGCTATAATGGAATACCTGATGGGCATCGGCATGGCTAAAGCTGAAAAGGTATGTGTGACCGAATGCACTCGAACTAGGAACAACCCGAGAGTCTCTGTCATCACCATGTTTTCTAAAGAGACAGACAATTCGCGGTCTCATCTCGACGAGAAGACATATGATTAAGAAGTGGGTCAGACATGTGTGAGTGTAAATTAGAGGAATCCTGCTCTAGGCGACACTATGCTACCGTAGGTGGTCTCCTGTTAAGATCACCTACGGTAGCATAGTGTCGCCTAGAGCAGGTCTCCTGTTAAGATCTGCCGAATTTTTATTCTCTTGTGTGCATGGGACGTTGCCTATGCCAAGTGGTGCAACACAACTATCTCTCACCTCTTCATTTGGGATTCTTAATCCTCGAGCATCTGACAGACATGTAGATCTGGACATGAATATTGCCTGCCATACTGACGCTGCTGGCAAAAGAGAGAAAGGCATTGGGCTGAACGTGGAGACGGAAGTATATACTTCATGAGCATGCTTATAATCGGTTGAATGTAGGACTGTAAAGACTATTCATAGGACCAGGTTCGGGCTAAATGCAACCGAAGTACCATGTGCGTGACCATGTGCGTTTTGTTTGATCCAGGCTCTACTCATAGGATGCTCAGCCGGGGTCTAACAGCGATTCTTCATTGCGATTTCTTCAGAGCTCTTATCCGTCGTCATTGGAAATTCGTCAACTGTATGGCAGATGCTGGCTTCTTTCTAGACATGTAAGTTGTCAACCAGTCACTGCAATGTCCGCAGTCACACTGTCTCCAGGTCCAGTTACGGGTACGACGTTCATGAAGCATGCTTTGCATCATTTTGTATTAACCAATTTCTACAACCGTGGGACGATGTCATGAGCAAAGTTCAGCTCAGGATACGAAGGCATTGTCTGTCCAGCTACCAGGCGCGCTCTTGGTCTTCGTTTGGGTGAATAGTCCCGTATCAGATTATGTTAGTGCAGTCTTTTGGGGTCTGCCGTGATTGCAAGATTTTCTCATGACTCGTAGGCCCTAAGACCTCACTCTTGTTATCTCCAGCAGTCCAGATTTCAGCGGCGGTCTCAATCCGCTCGACTTGTACGTCTACGCTCTCCTCCATGTTCTTCGCCGTGTGCAGCTATGACTTCCCATTCAGCAACTTACCTGTTGTACGCAAAGTCATTGAGATTTGTGTTTCCTCGTCACTCACTCTACATTTGTACCTCTTTCGTTTATCGAATGCATGCCTTGGATAAACGTTGCACATCCTCGAGAGCAGCATCTTTGGTAAGTGCAGTTTCTCATCTTCGGTTTCGGCAATCTCATCTTATTTTGCAGTATGAAACTTGTATCCGCGTGCATCAATATCTGATTAAGCTGGCATCGGCTTGTGTCCTGATGCCAGGCAGGGAGTGGTTTTTGCTCAAAACGCTTTACCATGCGTCCATACGCCATTATACATACTACAATCAGACCTGGATATCTACCAGGTACAGCACTGGAATAAATTACCATTGAAACTTCATGAATTTTAGTATACAATACTTCCATCATGTCCATGGATATTCGTCAGGTGACTTCACAACCTGCTGGGTATGGTGGGTCGGTCCTGATCTAATTGAGCGTTGTGAGTGGACAGAGAACAGATGGGAAACCTAGTCGCTCCGAAGTCGGCAGATCCTACGGGCACATGGACGAGATGTACTCAAGACCTTGGAAGTTGCTCCTCCGAGCAGCTTGGAGTGCTTGAAGGTACATAAAAAATGAGTACATTGCCATTTCCTTTGCACCCTATGCTTGTGACCGGAGAAATCCTTGTGCCATGTACAAACCGCACACCTCCTTTTACAGAATTCAGAATCAGAATGGTCAGGGCTTTGGAAGTTGCAGATTCTGCTGTGCGTGAATAATTCGTGATATCCTGCTATGCTCATTGCATGGCAACAGTCACCGCTAGATGGAACAACCATCAAAACGTTTTGATAAATGGCAAGGTAAATGATTTATCTTCCTACCCCGTCGCTACTTACATATCAACTAACCATCGTAGAACATCGCTAATATGACTTTGCTCATGTGTGGTCAGACGATTGCGCAGAGCGTAGGAGACTGGTACAATGCGAGAAATGTGAATGATTTCGTGCTGGTCGACGGACCGTATCCGTCAAATCCGACATGCTCAGGAAGGACAACGCACTCTGAAGAAACACACTTTGCCGAACATTTGGTTCAATGCACATGGTTTTTGCCAAATAAATTGGAACGCAAGTTATTAGAAAGTGGGCGACAAGATCAGCAAGTATAAACAGGCTTGAAGCTCAGTAATGCAAACTAAACTTTCCCCTTTACGATGCAATAACTACATCAGGATTGGATAATGGACAGTACAGTTGTTAGCATTCAGGAGACCACGTGGATGGAGACTTAAGAAACCAGAGATCCAGTTCCCACTAGTAGCCCTGGGAAGGGACGGGCGTGAAACCCGAACATGATGACATTCTGGAGTGTGTTTTTTATATATTTAAAATGATTAGATCAGTTTTTATAAGATAAAAAAAATAAATTTTTGGATACTCAAACATGCTAAAAAAATGATTACTCTAAAATGTATTATTCACTGAACAGCGAGATTTCAAAAAAATTAACTATATATAGATGCTCTTCAATATAAATTTTAAATGTAATTCATACAAATTCAGCCAATCTGATGTAGATGGATATATGAAATTACTTACCTGTAAAATAATAAAGTCTTATGATCTTTGTAGATCAGTAATAAGTCAGTGCACACTTAACAGTGAGCATTGTATTCATTCAAATGAAAGTATCACCGAATGCAAATGTGTGTACTTTTCATCACAAGTCAAATTAAACATAGCCTGTAAAAAATATTTACTATGAAAGAAAATAAAAATTATAGAAATTTTGCCCATCATCATTTTTTATTAATTAAATTGCATGAAAATATCACTTCATGTGCTCTTTATAGAGCTCATCTAACGATGTACCAAAAATCCTTAAGTGTTCATGCTAGCAAGCGCTGATTACCGTGCAATAATAATTTGTATGTTCTGTTGGTCAACCTGTTTTCACTGCACTATATTCATCTCAAGCATTCCCGAAAAATATAGTCATGTGAACGTGTATTGCTTCCAGAGGAAATTCACACTTACATGTACGTGAAAATATGGTTAATCACATAAGGCAAGTAAGAACCTCATTGCTAGTTGTTCAGAAAATATCTTCTGTGATATCTGCAAGTCGGAAATGACAAGATACAAAAACTTTATAATCTTTCTGTATATTTGAAATGAGGACATTTAACTAATAGGAATCGGTTTATGGGATGATAATCCTAACGATCCAACCCATGACATGGGTAAGTACGTATTCTCTTACCATCCAACACTTGTAATTCAATCGAGGAGACCGAGAGAGAGAATCATGAGAGAGCAAGCTCAGGCCTCTCTAAATACTGCAAATACGGAACTTGAGGGCCAAAGTGCCTTATTTCGTTTTCAGAAAATTACACATTTCCATCAAAAAGTCTTTGAAGTCTAGGTGTCTTTACGAGAGAAACTAAAGGAGTGAACTGGAGAAACTAATGTAAATTTTCAGCTAAATTTTTGCCCTAATCGTGTGTGACAATTTCTTTGTTCATATTGATGACTTTACTAGAGAAACTAATTGAGTACTCGTCTAAAATTTTGGTACGACCAACTGAGTTGGTGAGTACAACCAAGCAAGTTCTAGTATTTTGTTTATTTTCTTAACTCAATAACTTGTAGCTTTAAAAACACAAAATATTATTCAACTAGTTCTAAAATATCAAGATAGTCTCAAATTTTTTTAGAACAAAAGTACATAGATAAGATAGTGAACCCATTATAGTAAGAAAGTTTGTTGATTCCAGGTTTTAAGGATAGATTTCTTCAACTCATGGATTTTTTCCTAAGATTAGTTTGACCATTTTCGAACACTTCAATTTCTCCGTGCTAAAATGGAAAAAGGATATTCAGAGATCAAAGATAACACCCATTTCTCTCAAAATCTATTACATTGCCGAAAACATGAAGGTTTAGGTCAAGATGCGGCCGAAAATTGTCAAGTTCCATATATTACGTATTTTGATTTGAGAATTATCTTTATTTTGTTGAGATACGAAAAATACGGAATACGCCCTATATAGAGAGGCCTGACTGGCAATGCTCCAAGTGAAAAATGGATAGCACCAATAATTACATCTTCCTGTCCGTACGGCGCAGGAAGGAATGTAGAAGAGAAGGCTTACCGTGCGGACACCGGCAAACGCTCACGTGTCAACGAGGAGGAGCGCAACGTCCATCGACCGACCGGCAGGGAGTCGGGCAGAATCTTGTCTTGTCTGTCCTTCGGCCACCGTTGGAGAGAATCAGTGTCCCAGATCAGTTCCTCGACTAAAGCTTGGGTTCTCAAGGACCCCAACGTCGACAGCTTCGAGGACGAGCGAGCGATGGCGCAGACGGAGCTCGCCCTGCCCAGCGGCCGATTGCAGCGCTGCGCTCTCGCGGTGCTGCTGCTGTTTCTGGGGAATGTCGCGTGTGGCGCCGAGGCTCTCCGAAGGCCTCCATCGCTGCGATCTCGACCTCGGCCTGCGCAGATCCGTGTGGGAGGGGCGACGTGGACGCAGAGCTATTCGTGGGAGACGAGGTGGTACGAGCAGAGGCTGGACCATTTCAGTTCGAGAAACGCCACCTTCCAGCAGAAGTTTCTGCTGCGAGCCCAGGAATGGGGCGGGGCGGAGTCGAAGGCCCCGATTTTCTTGTACTGTGGCAACGAAGGGAACATCGAGTGGTTCGCCGAGAACACAGGGTTTCTGTTCGACATAGCTCCCCGTTACAAAGCTCTGCTCGTGTTCCCGGAGCACAGGTATTATGGCGAATCCATGCCGTTCGGAAGTCAGCAAGCAGCTTACAAGGACGCCGACTCTCTGGCTTATCTGAACACTGAGCAAGCTCTGGGCGACTTCGTCACTCTCATCACGGATCTGAAGCGTAACCTGTCAGCTGAAGCTTGCCCCGTGGTGCTGTTCGGTGGATCCTATGGAGGCATGTTGGCTGCATGGATGCGGCTCAAGTATCCCCACATTGCAATCGGAGCCCTCTCGTCGTCTGCTCCGATTTTGCAGTTCGAGGATGTGGCATCGCCCTACTCCTTCACCGACACAGTGAGTGCCAATTTCAAGGCCGCCAGCGAGTCATGCTACCAAACCATCAGGGACTCGTGGACTTTGATGGAACGGTTGGGTTCAACAAAGGAAGGGCTGCGTAAGTTGAGCAGCCAGTTCCACATGTGCACTGATCTGCATGATTCGGGTGAACTGGGCGCCTGGACTGACAATGCTTATGCGTATGTTTCCATGGTAAATTACCCTTATCCGTCATCATTCCTGCAGAATTTGCCAGCCTACCCTATCAACGAGATGTGTAAGGCAATGGATTCGATTCCTGAGTCGGATGCCATGGCCAGGATTTTTGCAGCGATGGATGTGTACTACAATTACACGGGAGATCTGGCGTGCTTCGACATTTATGACGATCCTCACGGCATGAGTGGTTGGGACTGGCAAGCTTGTACGGAGATGGTTATGCCTCAGAGTAACCGGAATACGAGCATGTACTTGCCTTTCGAGTGGAATTTCGAGGACTTCGCCTACTGGTGCGAGAAGAACTATGGGGTGAGACCGCGATCTCACTGGATTGTGGAGGAATTCGGTGGCCATGATATAGAGGCCGTCTTGAAGAGGTTTGGTAGCAACATTGTCTTCTCGAATGGATTGGTTGATCCGTGGAGTGGAGGCGGTGTCCTGAAGAACATATCTGATTCGATTGTGGCTCTGGTCACCGCCGAGGGAGCACATCATTTAGACCTCCGGGCAATTCAGCCTGAAGTCGACCCTCAGTGGTTAGTTGACCAGCGAAATGCGGAATTACAACATATCGACAGGTGGCTGCTTGAGTTCTACGCGGACAGGGATGATGGGCATGCGGAACAGGCTTGACGGAACTTCTGTGAAACTTCGGGCCGCTTGGTCAGCAACAAGCAATAAGCGCTTTCCGTGGTTTCCGGTCAATCTCAGAGGTCACTCTTGTACACCATGCTCTGCGATGACAAGCAAAAGAACAGGTGGCAAAGTTGAGGCTCTGCTTCCTTGTACAGATTGGCAACAACGCATCGGTGCACATCAATTTGAGCTGTGTGTGACAAAGATGGGTTGAAATATGGTAGCATCCTCACCAATAATTATAAGTTGTATTAAAATTCAGTTTCGATCTTGCGATATACAATGAGCCGTAGACACTTCTCAAATGTGTCTGTGAAACGTCTTGGTTGTGAACATCCCTCTAGGGTCACAGCTGTCAGCTACGCGTGCTCAGATTAACTGCAACCTCTGTGACTATATTACATACCCAATTACCTGTACATTGATTTGCAATGGGCAATTACATCGGAATTTCCTTAAGACCTAATATCTAAAATTCCCAGCGCTCAAGCTGAACTTCGGCTTCCGACAGATCCTTCTGTGCTTTCTTTCTGCGGTAGAAGATAGGGCAGTCCCGGCTGTCACAGAAGAGAGTCAGTTATTGACTTCCATACAGGGTCAGCTTGCAGTAGGTACAAGAAGAAGCATACACTATGATGGAAAACATTCACTGTCGGAGATGGTAGTGGTTGCCTCCTTCAGTCGGTAGATGAATACAGCAGGGCTAGTTACGTCAAACACGTACCAGAGAATGCATGAGGTTTCGAAACTTGGTTAAGGCTTTACCTCGTGCACAGAACATCTTGATGGAGAGATCCTTGGCACCGTTGGCACTGAGTCCATAAACTGTTGAAAAGCTGCTCCAGCTCCCTAACTAAAACACGTTGAATTGTGATGCAAGCGATGTTAAGTCATATGAAAATTAAACCTGAGGCATGGCAGAATTACGCACATTGTGGATATGCTACTGATCATATATACCAACTTCCCTGACTAATTCCATCCGTAGAAATCAAGAAACACTACTTGCAACAATGGCTGGATGACGTTGTCGAACTTCTTCAAACTTAGTAGATCGATGCGGAATTGATTGAATGAGCTTGAAAGGCGTGAGAATCGCTTAAGCATTTTGGAATGGAAAGGCGTATACCACTAGACACTGTTTTTTGATATAGCTCCGGTTCCCTTCCTTTACAATGGGAACAAAGGGTTTGATCTCCTTCGCTGCAGAAACACATCATATACCTGCTATAAGTATCCGTAACACCTAACTGATATAGAAAAGGACTCGAACAAGCTGACTGCCATTTCCAAACGTCAATAATAAAAGGGTGCATCTTTGTAGGAGTCCACAGTAGGGAGGTAACACATTTACCTTAACGTTGCTCTACATCCAAAGCAGCTGAGACGTTTCTTAGCGAATTTCATCAAACCACTATTAGATGGCGTGGAGATGGAGACAGCCCGGGTATGCGCGCCATGCAAAAGCTCTCTGCTCGCGTTTTTAATGATTGGATCAAAGATTCGAAGTAATGGCTGCATACGATCAATTGGTAACAGAAACTCTCAGCACTTCGCCTGAAACATGTACCACGGTTACAAACCAAGTACAATAAAGCGAACAAGTGTGGCACAAGTTGTTATGTCGTTACTTCGTATGGCACGCCAATACACACCTTGCTTAGCTGATTCTCCAAGTAATAGTGTGGGTCTATAGGTATGTTGTTCTCCAGGACGTAAATTGGATCTTCCGATTTTTCGTAGGCCTGAATGATAGGTGACAGCTTGTATGAGTTGTGTTTATCACCAGCTTTTTACACTCAAGCAGTTGCAACAATCAACGGGGAACATATCATTACCTTGGCACCCTTAGCTGCTTTAATGATGACGTACGGAACCCGATCACCGACACCGGGTGCAGTGGCTGAGTCACGCTGAACAAATTGCGTCTGGACTAGTCAGAGTTCTGAAAACTTGGAACGAATCTATGACTTACGTTCTCTTCCATACCAAACATAAATCAATAACGGTCTGCATGCTTACAGCTCGCACACGTAAGTGTTGACAGTTTTCATAAGTCGAGAACGACCTACAAAATCACGTGTAATACCTTGCGCATACGCTCAGCCAATTCCACATGGGCTGCCTTCACGGCGTAGTCGCCTTCAACTTTTGTTAAGCCCTGTGAGGCAAAGATGTCTAATGGTTAGTGGGTCTTTGGTGCCATCGTGATCCTTGGACATCTTGAGCGTCCAAAAACATACCTGCAGATACTATCAATTCATTTGTGGGCAGATCAGGGGAATCTACTTTGAGTCTAGGAACAAACTCCTACTAGAAAAGAACTCAGTCAATAATTCCTCTCCATAGGTTTCCCAAGGAAGCATGATGGCACCTTGGTGATCACAAGAAGCGAAAGATCAACACGGTTCATGAGAAGATCAGATATCGTGTTCTTCACAAACTGTACTGCTCCAGGTATATCGCGATCGATGAGTATCTTGTGCAAGCACTCAGTTACAAGATTCTTCACCAGAAGGCAGTTATCTCGCCTCACAGTCTCGATTCCTGCATTAAGAGTAATTAAAAACAGGAAGTAACAATTCCAACAAATTTCAAAGAAATTCAAGAGAAATTCTCTCAAAACGATCATTTCGGTAGGAAACTTTCTAGAAGGTTTTACCATCCTCAACCTAAGATCAGGCATAGCGAGATATTACACAAGATTCAGTAAAAACCAACGTCATCCACAGTAGTAGAACCTTTGGTATCCATTTTGTCGTGCTTCTCGGGTTTTGTCCACAGGAGTCCGGCATATCTCTTCTTACTGATCAGGAGATAGGGATAATAAACTTTCTCAAACTCCAGCTTGATAGGCTGAGGGGAGACAAGAAACACATTAAGTACTGACGAGAAAATAATTTTTGATACAGACATCTTGAGTACAGAGAACCAAAGATGACACGAAGAATAATAATTTGGTTCTTCGGTAAGTGAGGCAGCTATCATCTTTCTGAACAAAATGGTCACAGCTCCAATCATATTGGTACTCCAAGAGATACGTGTGAATATAAGCCTGCCAACTCATTGCTATGCTCCCATCCAGTCGACCTATGGACTTATCCTGCGTGGAATCTGGTGTGAATCATAACAGGTTTTCGCCACTTTCCTACCTTGATGTATTTTTCTCAATTCCCTAAGCCATTCGAAGGAAGATGATATCATTATCAAAAGAGTATGCAAGTATTACAGGGATGTCACACCTTGGTAAAAGTTTTGCTGATATAATCAGCAGCTTCTCGCCCAAGGTTCATGGATTCTTCCACAGTAGGAGCCCCAAATTGCACCATGACCGAATCCGTATCTCCGTAGACAACCTGCTTGAATTGAGTATCGAATTAACTGATCTGCTCGTAAAAATCATTTTCTTATGCTCTTCACAGTATTGTCAACATCTTCCTCGTACAAGGATAAAAGATCACAAGGAAGATATGTAGGAGAAGGGACGTCGTTTCCACATACCTCAGCTTCATACTGATACCCATTGCTTATGTTGAATCGCTCTTGGACTAGCCTTTTGGTATGTTCAATCATCTCTCGACCTACCAACATTCCAAGGTTATTAGAAGGTTCCACGTACAGAATTATAATTTACTTTCAATATAGAAAAGGAGAAAGTTGATGAAGACCTACTATTACGGATAGGACAATACGTACAGAAAGCTCCTGACCTTTAACCACATTTGAATTTGGTAACTTTACAACAAGGCCTTAAGGACTAGATAGAGCGCGTCACAGCAGTAATTATTACCATAACTAGTGACGCTCGAGGATATTTCAAGGCATGGAAGCTGTCCGATAGTGGCTCCAGTGAACCCATATACTGAATTTGCACTTACCTGCATTTACATCACAAAGCCAGAAAATAGATTGGCGATCTATTCCAAGGACCGGCCTATTGGGGAAAGAATACAGGAGTCGCACAGGTAGTAGACCTCTTCCATATGAATAGAGCATTTACCTTTAAGGCAAGCTGTCTACCATCCAGCACGGCCTTCTCAAGAGGATCTGTTGCTTTCTGCAACGGACAAGCCAAGACAACATCATCATTAAAGCCTTCAAAACTTGCAACCATTCATCATAAGGTAATGGCTGACTCTGTTGGAGAAGGTTCAGAGTTTGAAAAGACATACCTTCAAATCTTCCTTGGCGACTTTACGTGCTGCTAAGAGCTCCTCTAAGATCTCTGGCAGTATTCCCTGATTCCCAAAAATAAATTCACATCTACATCAGAGTGATATAAAGAACCGTGATTACTAGACAGGTGTCCCGGTGCTAAAGACCACAGTGGGCGGAAAGCGGCGAGGTAAAACACAGCAAGAACGAGTACACCCGAGCATATAGCAAATCCGATTTCCAAGGGAGACATACAGCTGATCCCGCTACTGTGATCTGCTAGAGCTCAGTAGAGCTCGTAAGACAACGTGTGAGCATCTCCAGGCAATTACCAAAGAAAACAGTGTTGGAAGTCAGCCCTTCCGGCTATAGCCCAACAGTTCTCTAGTAGCATTGTTTTAAGTCCACAATAAGGTTCTTTTGAACAGTGTACTGCTCACAACATCATCTGACGGATATTTAAAACTAGGGTCCATGCCGATCGGGGAGAGCGAAGCTTCGGTAGTTGAACTGTTCGACGTTATTCTTTCACAAACTTCAATGCATATGGCTCGTGAGGATGTTCGAATCGTATAATTCAGCTTGACTTTAAGAAGACTTCCGGAGTCTCATCCGTTTCTCTCATAACCTCACGCTGCCCTCACGATCAAAAAAACAAACAGTAAAATCAACAATTCAAATCAGCGTTTCCGATTTTAATTGTAAATCTGTGATGTCATAGGTTGTCTCGAAAATTTCAGAAACGGCGGACCATATCATTCATAGCCCCCAGCAAGAACTGCGGACGTGCACATCAGGTATACTAGAAGATAATCAAACCAAGAGAGCAGAAGCAAATCAGTTTCTGGAACGACCATTTTCTGAAAGCAGAATATGCTTCTATAATGTCCCGATTCGATTCAATACACAGAATCAACACACTTTCAACACTAGCCTACACCACAATCAGCCTTCAGGACACTGTGAAACTACCCTAACGATTCTACACGAATAAACCAGCCGATGGAATCCAGGTCTACGACAGGCCGCCACTCCGGATACAGATTAATCTTAAGCTCCAAACACGGGGAATTCTTCTACCAATACTGGTCGAGCTTCAAACGGAACATCTCTACTCTATCAACACTTCGTTTCCAACATTTTCAAGGAAAATGTCCACTCTAGGCTCGCACAGATGCAGAGCGAACGCCTCTTCCGAGTCATAATCAAAACCAGAGGGATGCGCTGGAAGCATCCACCAGGAATCGGTTGCCATATCACACATTATGACATCGTTCCACGAGTTTGCAACGCAGAGGAATCTACCGTTCCCTGCACACCTAAACTGGCACTGAATAGAACGATCGTTGATTCTTGTCAAAAGATCTTCAGGCATGAGGTGAGCCTCCACCCACACGTTCTCTTCGTCCTCGTATTCTTCCATAATTCTCCAGATATAAAAGTTCCTCAAGGTAGGACCTTCGATCTGAAAAATGTGACGATCTACAGTGCCACCTGCTACCATAGTCTTGTATCCAGGCCATTCTTTGTCCTCGCGATGGAAAAGAGTGGCAAAGTCAAGGGGATGCGGTAGCCCGATATCACTGTCACCCACCCACGTGGGTTCATGGAGCCAATTCAGATTTGAGTTATCAAGATGATACACACGGTACCTACGTGATCGCACTAGAGAAGAAGGAGGATGCGAAAGCTTTCCTAGGCAGTATAACTGGCCTTCTGACATTGATGGACTTTGAAAATGTCGGAATTTCTCCTCGGGCCATCTTGCAACCTGACTCCACTCATCAGTCTTCAAATCGTAATTGAAGAAAACCCAGCCGCTACTCTCGTCATAGGGTCCATCCTCCTCCTCCTCTTCATCCAGATACCCTTGGTCCGAGACACCATGAGGATAGTATGCTGCGAGAACCTGATGAGAGTGTGTAACCTCGTTCCACATCATTCCGATAACTCTGCTGGTTTCCACATAGTGCAATTCTGGCAGAAGAATCAACTTCTTCAGGTTTGACGGATACAACGGGTTGGCCACGTACAAATCATACGTAGATTTTTCGTCATCTGAATAAGGATCCTCATCGTGCACTACCTGTAGTAAGAGAAGGCCCTCGGCAGCGCCAACGACATGAAACTCTTCATCCTCCTTCACACCATACGCGCAAATGCTGGAATTTCTCTTGAAAACGGCAAAATCGCCCTCACAGACATGCCAACTTTCGGTGGCGGGATTATAGAACGTGTTGCCCTGAATCCTACAACAGCTCGAGAAGCAAAGGGGAACTTGATTCGGATCCCTGTGCCACTTCTCTCGAAACAATGCACTCCTAAGGATTTCATTCCATTTCTTACAAACTACACGCAAACGAAACACCTCATACCAGGGCAGAAACCGGAGAATCGCAAGGACAATTTCATCTTGCACGGGTCGCCCCTCAAAGGGATTTTTCTCTAACTCTAAATCTTCCAATACGTCCATCACAATCGAAAATTTTAACTACTCTCTATCTCTTTCCTTCTCCTATCCCACCCGAAGATCCTCACTCGAATTGTTCAGGCCTTTCGTCAGCACACAAACACGTGCCTGACAGACAGAGACGCTCCTCTGCAGGTTTAGAAGCCGATAGTGAAATGCTGCTGAGCAAAAACTAAGATTAACGAGGTACAAACTAGGCATTTATGAGCGTCTTCCGTCCTTTCGTCAAGGAGAGGGTCCGTTGTGAATCGTGAAGGCAGGTGGAAGGAAACTGGAGTCACGGGTGAGTGGATCTCGGAATTGTCTCTTGGACGAGATTCGAATGAACGAATCTTGGCTTGGAGAGACCAAACTTCGAAACTCCACACTTTCCTTGCTTGATATTCATGGATCCAAGCTGGATCTCTATGGCTGGCCTGTCTTCAAGGAGACAAGATGTGTATGTGGGCCCGACACTGATGACCACATTTGTGCCATGGAAGTGGACATCATCAGTCCTCGAACACTCCGCAGAGGCGCGTGTGCTTCCCACACACGACTGCATCGAAATTCATAATTTGCCACGACTAAAGAAATAGAAAGTCAAACTGCATCATCCCATCTGGCCTCACAGAAAATGACTCGTACGTGTTGGCACCCTTTTTAGACCACCGTATGTACGATGTTATCCGATCTTAGTTCAGGTCATGACACTCTCGTGACAGAGGTGTGATGAATTTATGATTAAATGAGAGATTTAACAGCAGTTTACAAAAGGCTTGAAGCAAAACGCCAAAATATTTGAACACTGTGGGTCCATACTTAACATGCCCACAATCCTTCAAGCGGCGCGCTCACAACAGGGGCCAACGAAATCAGGATCTTTGCTGTCCAGCTGCACATGAGGAACAGGCGCTACAGTGACATAAAAGTGAGGAGAGAAAAATACCTTCTCTTGCGACGGTTTCACAAAGATTTCTCCAGAGGGAGTTTTGGCATATGTGTCAGGAGCTAGCTGTAATTCTTTCATGTCTTCAGCCCTCACCTTAAACGCACATTTTAATCACAAGTTAGTACAGAGCTTGAGATAAGGGCGCATTTCATGCCACGAGTTTTCAAGCTTCACAAAAGGCTAACATAAATAGTTCCCGAGAAAACATTGCTCCCAGTGCCATCAGGTTACATACAGAAGGCAGATATAAAAGAAACTACAACAGTATACAAATGTAACCTCGGAACTTCCTGCGATTAGTTCACCTCAAGCAGGAGCTTAAGACAGAACCTAGACCAATTGCTCAGAAGTTAAGGCCATACCAGTGTACAGTAGCAAAGATTGTAGGCCATCATAATTGATGGATATAGCGACGCAAAATCTAAAGTCGCAATGGGCTTCTCATAGAAACCTGCCTTGGCTTCAAGTACCTACAGTAGGAAAGAAATTGAAGTTCACGAAATTTTAGGAAACTGACTCAACAACAAGGTCACTCGTTCATTGGAGGTCTATGGAGGTCTATGGAGGTCTTCACTTTACCAACATAAGCAGGCGCCACGTGCGGCGTTGCAACAGGAATCTCTGAACAAGAAAGGTTGTCATGTCCACAGAAACTTGACTACTTTCCCACATTTTTAGGTTCATTCACGTTGACCACCTATGCGGTTACAGACAATGATTGTTAGCATAACACACACGATTCAAATTCTCAGACTCGTATTTAATCACTTCAAGCCAGTACTCACCGTTGCACCTTCAAAAGTATCCTGGCCAGATTGGCCCTTCATGTTTGGAACAAGCAAATTTCTTTGCCTCGACTTTCTGAGCAGTTGCGACAGGACCTGCATATTCATAAAACGATTAAATCAAAAGTCTTGTTGCTACGTCGAGTTACTGGAAAGAAAAGCCATGTTCGAAGTCTTGGACAGGGTAGAAAACTTCAACGTAAATAAGAGATTCATGATCATTTCCTTCCAAATAGTTGCTGTAGAATTCTCGATACTGACCAGTTCCCTGATTAGTCACAAGTTTGTCCGTTCTACTTCATTTGAATGGTAGCAAAAACAGCTTGCTTCAAACATATTACCTTTATACTCTGGCCTCGAGCCAAGAGAAATGATATGGGAACACCTGTAACGCGTGCCATTTCTACGTAGTTGTAGACATACATGAGTTTGTCCAGCAACCGCTGCGGAAGATAGGCATCCTGCGTTCCACATAAGCCACTTGCACGTTTCAATTATGCACGTGTTATGTGCGAAAACAGTAGCAAGAACAGAAGTCTTGAACAGATTCATCAAGCATGCAAACCGCTCGTCCAATGACAGACAAATCCAACATTCAAGAATAGCGAAAAACGTGGCTGTTCACAACGTTACTTTCATGATCAGAACATACTTTAAGGCAGTAAACAGCAAGCCTGCGTCGCGTTTCCGGATTTCCATTCTGGAGGTCCGATATGATAGAATGATGCACATCCTCCTTCTGTTCTCCACAAAGCGAACGTATATCCATAAAACGCTTGATTTGCTAATAAAAAGGGCAAATTGTGGTGCCTGGACTCAAGAGCTATTAAGGTATCCAAAGTACCAACCAACCCAGATCGGTACAAGAACACCCTCATGAGACTTTAACGTACTCTGATCTGAAAAGCACCCTCATCTCATATGGTGTCGGGCATCTGAGAATAAAACAAGAACTGAACCGAAGAAGTAATCAATGCTCTGAAAGTCACGAACCAAAAGTAGCAACTTCACTTATAAAATAAATTATGTGGCACCCAAGTAGCTCATCGCTTACCTGCTCCCCTAGGAAATGTGCCGAAACTGAGTTGAGTGAGTAGGAACTCAGTTTGTAGTCCCTTTGCACGGCCTATCAAGTGCCCACTCAAATGTCAGCAATATAGGAATGATAAACAAGAACTGATGTCTTTGATGTGGAACATGGAATAATACAGTCAAAAAGGAGAACGAATGTTTCAAAGTTTTATAATGTGGGAAGAAAGCAGTTCTTTGGAAGGACAAGATACACAACGATAACATTCAAAGGTGAATTATAAAAGTAAAGAGTCAAGCCACAAGTCCGCTGCACAATTAAGAACAGCAGTACAATTCAATCATTATGATTTATATAGGAGATGTATGCATAGAAGGCAGTAAACTTCTGGGTTGGAGAAAAAACCTGACACCTACTTGACAGTCTAGCTTTATATTAAAAGTTGCTTAAGAGATATTCAAAGTACGTTCGATCTGCTGCTTAGCATTCTTCGTAAGGCTCACCTGAAGTAAATCAAACTGAACCCGCCCTTCTATAGTGACTTCTTTGCTATCTCGCTGACCGTATTGTCTGTCAGAAAAATAACATAACCGTAAATGACATGTTGAAGCCCATTCGACCTGAACAAGACCCTCAAAGTACATATAAAATAAACAAATGAAGCGTTTGACAGGTGAATGTGGATCTACCTCGAATTAAAAGATGCGTCTCTCATACGAACGCGACTCCTTTGAATTCGCCCAAGAATGGGAAACTCAGTAAGTTTAAGAGCGGCTGCCCTCTGTTATTGTTGCAAATAATTAGGAATAGAGAACCTGTTGCAAAAGGTTAAAAATAACTAATGCTCTTAGCGGTAATACTGAGCACAAGTCCACCACTTGCTTACCTCTATCAAGTAAGGCAAATCAAACTTGCATATGTTGTAACCGATTATAACATCCGGGTCAACTTCTCGCACAAGATCCTGCCATAAGGCAAGGTGGAAACAAAACACTGACAGTCAGGTTCTTTCACTTCTGCTGATGTCAAGCTCAATCAGTCCCAGTCTATCAAGGTCTGCTCTCAGGCAACCAACGAAGAACACAAAGTACAGTGATGTGATCGAGTTTGAGAACTGTCTGACTAAGAGATAAATACTTGACTCACAAAAGCCGACCAAAAGCCCGTGACCTGAACCGATAGTGGTGCAAAAGACAAATATTGACAGGAAATATATCTCTGGTCCTAGTTTCCCAAACCAAAAACTTGCATGTCATCTTTGTGAAATTTGGCTCATCTGATACATGGATGAGTTCAAAATCTAATCACAATCACAGTGAGATGGTCTTGAAACTTTTGAGAGAAGGAGCCAGAAATCAGTAGCACTCTTGTGTACATGAACTTATAGAAGCATAAATCGTTGAAGGCCAGAATAAGCTGACACATTCCTGATGCTCTTGTCATTGGAGGAACTGACTTCACAAAAAAATAAAAAGGGGCAAGTCCAACATACCCTCCATGCTAGCAAGACATCCTTTTCTGAGTCGAAGGACATGACATCCGCTCCAACTATAGGGGAGCATGACTTAAGTGTCATTACATTGCGCACCATGGGTTTAGCTTCACCTTGTACCGTAAGAAGATTGGCAATCTGTCGTGCAAACCGCCAAAAATGTCCAAACTTATAAAACAAGTCCATGAAAGAACTGATAGTGTGTAATTTAACGTCTCTGATCACTGATGAACAAAATTCAATCTCGATATATGACTGATGTAGAAACTCAAAGGTCATGTACCTGTATAACAGGATCATGCTGCGGCTCAGGAAAATGTCCCTTTCTACCGGCACATTCTATGTCGAAACTGAGAATTCTGAAGGGTGCCATCTTGGAGTACCGCCCCACTGGAGGATGGCTGATCAGTTTTGAATAGCTGAACTTGTGGTTAAGATAGTACACTCATGAGCTTTACTGGACGACTGCGGCGATGCTGGCATTAATATCTACTGACAAATGATAGTAAGCGATCTATGATTACCTTGAAGATATCGAGAATCAAACTTTTGTGAAGTTTTCAGGGTTGACACCAAAGTGATTGAGAGGATACAGTATGTCAGCTTCGATCTGGCAGTATGAAAACCTTCTCTTATCTATCCGATCGTGCCATGTCTTAGCTGGCAACTCAATCCAGTTTCCACCTACTATTCCACAGTCAATCATGAAACGAAGAGCAAAAAGAACATTGCTTTCGTAGGTCAAAAAACATCTCTGGCCAATGCCATCTATGTTGATTCCCTTCTCTAATATGCCTGCGACACAGACAAAAAGTGAGGAACAGTCAAAAGGCATACAAAGATGAAAAATTGTGGATTATAAAATAGCTAAGTTGAATGGAGAACCCACAAACAGTCTTTGCTTCTCTAGATTGGATATATGTAGTACAGTGAGGTACTACTCAAATTTGACGGCAATTAACCTCCTATGCTTATATCACGCTTTCTGAAGTATCCATGAATGAGCTGTAGCAACTCTCTAGGGCATATGATAGGTCGGTAAAACTGGATAGACTTTTGTATTACTGACCTCGACAAGCTGCGACCATTGTTGGTAGTGCAACAAAAATTTGGAAAAAGTTACGGCTTTTCTGTGTCTGATAGTACATGATGCTTCTCTTCTGTACCATCTTTATATCCGTTACACAAACTGGAGCTTTGCTATTTTTGCTGGTCTCCCGCATACGATTCTGCAAACCCAAGTATGACGTATGAATTATTTCTGTGTTAAGAGGAGGCATCGATGTCATCATTTAAGGCTCATATACACTGAACTTAACAGAAAGAAAGAACAAGCAATAGTACACAAACCCTTCAAAGCTGGGTGACCCAGGTAGTCCGTCTATGTGCAACACCGATTGAAATGGATGTCAAAGGCAATATCTAAATTGATCGAGCTATTTTCTGCTTGGGGTAAGCCGGCAACACTCGTACCTCTAGAGTTTGACGCAGTTTAGGAATGTCGTCAGGACCCATATTATCCAGGGCCATAATGTAAAAGTACGGTTGGAATCCATGAACATGACAGCAAACACTATTTCCTGCAGTAAAAACAGCTCACAAAATTGCAGAAATTAGAAATTGCAATAAACCATGTGCTGGCTATCATCCATAAGCGCCTTGAGGCTACTTCAACTTCTTGGACTAAAACCGGCACTAGAACATGGCCAAGGCAAGGTCTTCAAAACTGAAGGGAGAACATTCAGATCATGACTCCAGATGTAAGCCTTGTAACGTACCTTCTTCTGTGACTCCAAAGATTCTCAGCACGGCGGCTGGGCCTCTGTTATCCGGCAGCAGATCCTTGTTACTCTCCTCAATGATGTAATCAATCTCAAGTTGCTGGAACACTAGTTTTAAAACATCACAAGTAAGAATTAATGAAGACAAATAAGCCATTCGTAATTAAAGTTCGAAAATTTAGCCCATAAACATGGGAAAAATTTTTAATACATGCACTTCGGATAAGTGACAACAGTATGAATATCTAAGAGTCACATTACATCTCAATTCACCACATTTTATAAGTGTTACGTAAGATTCATTCTTTCCTGTGATCTGAGACGTTCTTTCAATTTGTCTGTCTCATCATACATCGGAGCTTTGTTACTTTTGAGATCAGCCCATATATTTAGTCAATTCAGTTAAGACTTACACTTGCAGGGCACTTAGTAAGTGCAATGAGAATACTCTTGGGCTTTTTAATTTGGCAGAAAGGTTAAGTGATGTATACTATGTGCAAAGAAAGTGAAAAGGACACTTCCTAATTAAAAAAACTGATTAGAGAATGCATACCAATACTGTCGTACGCATTGTGATATCTCTTCGGGATGGGTCGCCTCCACTTAGCTAGACGAGTCTGTATTCCTTCCACCCCTGAATCTTGCACCTCCTCATCTCTCAAAAGAATTTCCTCCAAAAAAACATCCTCATCGAAGTCTTCTTCATCCATTTCAGGTGGCGGGGGTCCATCAAAAGTTGCCTGGAGCCGTTTCGAAGGGGGAAGTGGATTGTATTGCTTGTTCACAGGGCGTTTAGAATCCACCTTAGCATCACCAGATTGCTTGCTAGCAAAACGTTTTGAGTCCATATTCACCTAACTCACGGCACTGAAATCTGCTATCAAATGTGCAGCTAGAAAGCTGATCAGATAAACCTGCACGCACTACACGAAGCTCTTCCACTTGCCCACCACTTTCCGTCTCAGCTATTCTACCTCCCCACTGGAGGAAATCAGAAGCTGAAGGTCACCTCAGCAAAACCAACGCAGGGGTGCCCATCTCTCTGCCACTGAGCCGACCCATAGCCTGCCAAATGAAATTCATACAAGTACTCCCGACCACAATGCACCTCAACATCGCCTGCTCCAGCAAAAAATCCTTCCTCGACTGCAACGGAAACCGGAGGAACTCTCCCTGGAAGCACTTCTCTAAAATCTGAAAGGGCAGGCCCTTCCTTCTTTCCTCGCGGGCTTCCGAAATTCCAGAAAATTCTCCCCTCCGCCTGGAAGATGGACCGCCTAGCAGCCTGAAAGCCACCAAATGCAGATTACAGCGCGGCCCTCCTCAAAGATCAGAGGACATGAAACAATTCTGCCGATTCTTCACGAGGGAGACTCAAATCCGACACTCCGTCGTCGTGCGAGAAGGCCAAGAGAATAAGAAACAGAGCATTACGCAACAGACAAACGACGCAAGGGAAGTGAACGAGGCGAGGCACGGGAGGAGCGAGAGGAGCGAGAGGCGGTCGGAGGGTGCTCGAGTCGAGTTGAGGAGCGCTGAGTCTCGAACTGCGATTCATTCCAATGTGCCGAGTCCGCGGACGATCTTGCGCGGAGATGCTTTCCCGCTCTTTTTCTCCCAAATTGTCCATGTGGTCTTTGCCTCATGCCTCTCTACGTCCCACGTATCGGACGGATTTGAAGCCCGCCATCGTCGAATTCTCGCTTTACGGCCGTCCAGATGCACGCAATTTGTCAACATTCTCCGCTCTCCAATTTCCGCACAGTGGACGGACAAGGCCATTTCAAAGAGTAATCATTGTCCTTAGCGTGACTTTACTTCCTAAACTCACCCTACCCCAAACTCGCGTGAGCGAACTGCGCAGTCTGCGCTCTAACACCCCGAGGTCCGATGAGGAAATGTGTCCAACCTGGTGCTTGTCGATATGGTTAATGATGCGTTAGATCAGTGAGAGCTGTCGTCATTTAAGCTAACCTTCAGTCATTACCGTAGTCATTTCTGAGCCGAACTGTACTACGGTCGCTGATGAACACAGTTACATCATACGAGCGTGTGTGTCCACCTAGTTTCAGTCACCCATTGTAATTTGCTCTCGCAAGACAAAATTACGATGTTAAGGTGTTAGAAACTTAATAATAACCGTTTTTTCCCTCTGAACATTTGAGGAAAAAAACATGGTGGAACCCAAGTCAGTGAGAATAGTTCTGTATTTCGCATTTCATCGTATAGTTATCCAGTCAATCGCATTGATTGAATCTTGTTCCATGTGTCACGTTGTCCATCATTTTTATTCGAAGTTAACTAAGTACTACGCATAAAACTCGTATGTGCATTTGAACTCTAGATTCAGTATGGGAATGAATGATAGATAGCGCGCTATCTATCATAACGCATTTCTTATTTTATCTTGTTCAAACATACACATTTTGCTAACTTTGAAATCGTTGATTGTGATTTAAATTTCCAAAAAAACAGTTGATTCATAAGTGTTAATAATAATATTATATTTCTATTATATCAAAACTTGTCGAAAAATCACAAAGCTTCAATAATTGATATGATCATTTCATAAAATATTAAGTTTATTACATTTAATGTAAAATGAGATTGATATAGTTTCTACTTTGTTTGTTTATATGACATAAATTTCAAAATTTAATTACTTGTTGTGTAAAAAATAACATGCTTCATTTTATAGAATTTGATATTGATTTATTATGATGATGAATATTTTAAAATTATTTACTTACATTATGAAACATTTCTATCATTTTATTTTTAAAAATTTATGATAATAAATTTATATTTTATATCTTGAAAGTTTTCAACTTACTTAATGTTAATTAAGTTATATTTAGTTACAATATTCACAAATAATGTTATAATTTATTTATTTAATAAACAAAATGATTAAAATATGTCACAATATCAACAAGAATGTAATCAAATAGAAAATTTTGGTGAATGAACACAAACTATGAACAAGAGTTTCATCTAACTTTGTCATCTTTATAATAAATAAATTTTAAAACATATGATGATTGTTTATTAAATGATTAGTATATAATGTTGGTATTCAGCTTTGTTGTTCAAGCATGCTTATACATATAATACACCAAAAAAATCACACATCAATGTATGTGTGATTTTTTTAAGCTACGTCCACGATCTAGATAAAATCTTCAATAAAACAACAATATTACATCAGGATTTCATAGTTTAGCTCTCCATTATCTTTGTACATGTGGGATTAAACTGAAACTTCCTCTGATCTCTTACAGATTAACAAATGCAATATTTTGTAGTGTGTATACCATCAAATACATGAGACTATTTATATCATAAAGAATAGAAGACATCAAGACTTTTTTATCAAATATGTAGTACACTGCCTGCTCAAAGTAAAAAATGAGCAACCAATTGAATATTCATAGATTTAGCTTTCGCCATGTTGAACTTGGTAAGCATTTTCTCTGCATACTTTTGTTAGGATAATCAAAACTTTCCTACTTTCTAATTCCTAAATACTTCAAAGTCAATAATCTTCTTGACTTGACCTAGATCATTCATGCTGAAAGTTGAGTTCAACTCAGCCTTCAACTAATCAACATCGTATCATCTGAACGTTGCATTAAGCATGTCATCAACATACAAGACAAGAATGATAAGCTCAAATGTAGCATCAAGAACTTTCTTCAAACAAAAACAAGTATCATATACAATTTGTAAAAATTCTTGTGAGTGCATGAAGTTGTTGAAGCATTTATTTCATTGTCAGAAACTTTGTTTTAAACCCTATAACGATTTAAGCAATCTCCATATCATGTCTTACTTTAATTCCATGAAAAAATCTTGCCGCATGACTATCACATCATAGTGAAAAGCTATGATAACATAAATCTTATCAAACACTAGATCATATAGAATCACAAGGGCACATAGCAAGTGCATTGTAGATTATATTGCTATCGGTGCAAAATTTTCTTTATAATGCACATCTTTGCGTTATGAAAATCATTTTGCTACCATTCTAGTCTTGCAGATTTTCTCATCTATATCTGTGGATCCATCTTTCTTCTTATAGGTTCACTTACAATTTATCATTCTCTTAACTTGGAGTAACTCAACAAGTTCCCAAGTGTTCTTGGCATGAAATGACTTCATATATTTTTACATACTTACAATCTATCACTCTCTTACTTTGGGACAACTCAACAAATTTCCAAGTGTTCTTAGCATGAAAAATCTTCATCAACATTTCATTCTTGCTTCTCATTAGAAGCTAGAGTTTTGAAAAAAAAAATGAATATTCATCTTCAATGATTAAAGCGTCACTTGAATCCTTAGCATCAGCTTCAATATACTTAATGATTGAAGAGTTAAACCAAGTGCCATATCTAGCTGGAGTTTGATGTTCTTATGCACTTTGCAACTATCGTCTTGATGAAGATTTTGCTTGATTAATTTGTGCTGGTTCTAAATGTGCTTCACCACAAATTAGTTCCTCTTGTAACCCAATGGGTGTATCTTCTTCTTGAGAATCATCAATTGTGTCAATATCAATCTACTATTCAATAGTGTAAGGAATAAGAGTCATTTTTTTTAAATCACGAGAGTCTGCACTTTTTTCCCTTAATTCAATGATCTTTATTCATTAAATGAAACATCTCTAATAACAATGAGTTTGCAATCATTAACAATCCACAATCTATATTCTTTGATAACCAAGAAGACACATTTCTTGGCTTTAAAATTAAGCTTGATACTGATATACTTTGGACTAAAAGCATAAGCATCACAATAAAAAATATCTTAATATAGATTAATATCAAATCATTTGTACCACAATTTATAACCATCTTTAATTAGTTAAAATTAAAATAGAGGTTACTCTAGATTGGATAAAAATAGATGAAAGTGTAAATTTATATTGACATGTCAATCATCTCTGTTAATTGGAAGCAGCATGTCATCAATCCGTATATTTGTTATGTAAGGATTAAATATATTAGTTGGTGTATTAATTAAAAGCGATATATCAACAATATATGTGTTCATTATAACCATATTTAGTTGGTTATAAAGTAGAGGTTACTCAATAACTCAACCCTAACTGTCTGCAATTGTCTATGCACCATGTATGATATGTGGTGCATACGCGGACAGGGCGATACATCACGTATCGGCCCGTCCGCGATCATCGACTATCGTCCGCGACGCATCGTCAATCGCTTGTCTACTGTCGTCGTCGCCATCACTGTCACTGTTGAGCAATCGTCGACTGCGTTTGTGCTAACGTCAGTGGTTGCTCCACCTATCACAGTTTGCTCGGCCGACTGTGTTTTCCCTTTTGATTCTGGTTATCTCGCCCATTGCATTTTTGCCGATTGCAGTTGCCCCGTGAACCGGAGTTGGCCCGTCCACGTTCAGCCTTGATCATGATTGCTTCTGCGTCGACCACGTACTCCCCGACCACATTTGCCTCGACCGTGTTCGCCCTTGCCGACCACAACTGCGGCCACCTTAACCACTGGCCGAGAAGAAGCTATGTCAATGAGAGTTGTCAACTTGAGCTTTCGCCTCCGCTTCCGCTTCAACTGTTGCTCGGCCGCGAGGTAGATAGTAAAGAGGTGGGGGATCGATTGAAGCCACCGCTCAGTTATCGCCCTGACCTGAGTGCATGAATTCGCATTGAACTCGCCTTTGAGAATCTCAGACGCCGAACTACAAAAGTTCATATGCAATCTACTCTTCCCCTTCAAAATTCTCGAAGTCAAAACTGCCACCTCTTTCGCGTTGCCTCAAACTGACAGTTTTCTATAAAAACATGCTTGAAAGTTTTTTAATCCTCCCATGTGCATTGATGTCTTCCTCATTCTAAACTTAGAGTTCTCAACAAACGAGGAGACACAAACTGCCAACCACCCGGGTCAATTTGTTAGTTCAACAACAATCCAACTTAGAAAAAATTGTCAACAAAACGTGTAGATCAAGTTTGAAGAAAAAAAACTGAAGATTATCCCAAAACTTCCGAAATTGTCATATTTTCTAAAACTGTGAGAAATTTCTGTCACCAAATACTGTCACTCATCATAAACTCATCATAAACTTCAAGAGTTTTTCACTCAAAACTGTAGTATAGCCAAATTGAATGCATTTTAAAAAAATGTGAATTTTTTTTTCATATAAGCTTTAAAATGTGTCATTAAAAGTTGTAAATTTCACTTTTTACATAGATCGTGGATAAATCTAGTCTAAAATATGCTTGTGAATACAATGTTCATGCAAATCATTGTATTCACAACAAATGTATGTAATGTTATATAAGAATAAATCATTATATATATATATAGTTTGAAATACTTGAAAATTTTCTATGCACATAATATTATGAAAGTATGTACCCTAAGACATTATCTTTTAGTTCATAAATTTTGATATATGAAAATTAAGTAATATAATAAAAAAAGATATAATTATAAAATGAGTTTTGAGAAAAATATGATATTCTTGACAAAATGTGCTACAAGATTTGTATACAATATAATTCTTGATTTTTTATTATGAAGTAAAATTATATCTTTCAATTTTAAAGTCATGTAACAAACTATTTAGTGATCTAGCATGAAACGATAGTATTTACACACAAGCAAATTCTATAAATGATTTTATAAAATTTGATATATATATATATATATATATACACACACATGATGATAAGCATTGATTAAAATACATAAATCTCATTATCTAGTAAATTTTATCTTTGAACCTTGATACTCATATTTTGTAAAACAATAATTTACTCAATAAAAATATAAATATGATATTGTTATAATTAATTTTTAAATTATATTTAGTATTTATTCAGGTAAAATTATACTTGAACACTCAAAACAGCTAGGTATTTCATAAACATATGTATAAATTTTAGGAAATTGTTAAATACACCACACTTCTTACTAAATACACCACACACACCTGGTTGTCTCACACCTACTTATCCCTAATACACAATGGATTTCGGAATGTGTCACTCCTGTTGTCTCCGCATGGGGCACCACCTCCACCGATCGAAGTTGAGGGTTCTATATGTGGAGGTATTCAGAAAAAAACTCACACAACTGGATAATAGAAGTTGTGTATGAAACACTCAAAACTGAAGAGAGCAGTAGCCAATCGTATGAGAAACATTAGGCCAAGTCTTCAATTTTCATTGAGATTTAATTGTTAGAGAGGTGTGGCGAATAAAATAGGTGTGTGGTGTATTTAACAATTCCCAAATTTTATTGTAAGACAAATTGTTGATAGTTTTGAGAAAGTATAAAAGTTAATAATCAACAATCCAATCATGATATAGTTTTTTACCAACCTATCAAAATAACATTCATTGCAAAAATGTACAATTTTCACAACATTGTAAAGAAATAAATATATAAAACCATATGTAAATGACATAACTTTACATGTTTTATTCACCTTCTCTATTGTATTGTAAATAATTATGCTAAATTAAATCTTTAAAGAGATTAGAGGTCGCAATATTATTTCTTTGAAGATTCAAAGTTTGTAACAATCTATTGTTTTTTCTTCAAGAAAAAAATGATAGATACATATGATTCATTACATTGTTTGTAGCCTTAAAATACTTTTAATTATCAAGACTGATTATGATACCAACATTTGTATCTTGAGTGAATTTTGAAATTAAGATAGATATGAGGCAATTTCATCAAAGTGATTCTAAAGTCCATCAATCATGATATTAGCGCAATTTATAACACTTCTATTCCATAAGAATATTGGTAAAAATTAATTTTCTTACTTATTTCTAACTATTTTTTGACTTTGGATCGAATTCTGATGCTATAGTTATAATCATTTATTTGAAAAGAAATTAAATTCTAATTCGCATTGCATGAACTTGCCTTTGTTTGGGGCAAGTCTAAAATGACTAATAAATGTTCTCACAGTGAAATGGTGAGCCTTATACTGTGGACAGCTTCGAAGCCGTTGAGCTTAAGTTTTATAAAGCCAGGTAAGGGTGAACATGTGACGCGCTACTTTCAAAATCATGAAGTAATGAGGGTCAGGAAGAAAAGTCTGAGAAGGAAATCGGTCATTACTGGCAGGTTAGAGCAGATAGTGCTGTAAACTCATGTTAGGGCTCACGAGACCTCACGAGAAATAGAGTGCGAAGATTGCAGTTTATGGGGATTAATTTGTCTTTGTGTGTATATTCTTCTCTCTAGCTCGTACGAGATTGAGTTCAGCGCGCAGGGTTGCGGTCGTCGCTGACGCTGCATATTCCTGACTCTTCCCGGCTGAACAAAATGGTGGGCACTTTCGTTTGGAATATTTTGGTCACCGTGAAGAAATTATGTCGGGAGATGGGATAGATTGGAAGTTTTTGGGTTCAATTTACCAGTGTTATTAAGTTCGGTGTTGATGTTGGTACAAAATTTTCTTTAATTTGACGTCGCGAAGCTGATATGTAGTGCACAGTTACTACGGTGATCCTCGTAAACTCTCTAATGCAGATCGTGTCTCACGTTTTTTTTTTCTTCAGTCAGGTCGAAAAGAGACAGTCCTCGATCTGGCCAAGTTTGTCGACAAGGGCGTCTCCGTGAAACTTAGCGGTGGCCGGCAAGGTATTTTTGTGGAGATAAATTGAGACCTGAACGACTTTGATTTTGCTTTCCGAGCCTCATATTTGCCTGTCGCGTAGAAGCAGGTTTCTTTCAAAATGCAGGACTTCTTCCGCGAGAATGCTGGACTATCTCATCCGAACGTGTTTTTAAAGTTGCACATTTATTTCACTATATTATATCTTTGCCAACATAAAATTCCCGTTTCACTGCCACAATTGAGTAATCTGGAAGCATTCATAGACTGCGATAGGCATATGAGGCACTCTCTGGTTCTTTAAAAGAAGATGTGCTTCACCATGCCACTTAATTTTGGTGGAGTCATATTTGTTCTGAATTGTAATCTTTGCTAGTGATTTTTTAGTATACAATTAGGTTACAGTCTTTCTGAGCTGTTGCAGAACACTCAGACATACATTTCACATGTAGATTTTAGTGACTGAGCTGAGAAATTGTCAACTTCGTTCTTGCTTCAGTGACCGGGACCTTGAAAGGTTACGACCAGCTGCTAAATTTGGTGCTGGACGAAGCTGTGGAGAATTTGAGAGGTATATTATTGCTCTCTTGCTGGACAGTTTGCCTGAAACTTTTATTATGTCTTCATTTGTGGTGGAGCTATACAAGCCATTCTCAGGCTTTATTTCCTTGTTTCCTGCAGCAAGAATATTTTAAACTCCAATTCTACACTTGGTTTGACTCTGATCACGTCCCGAGAACTGAGTAGTTCGAACATTCCAGTAATCTTTGGACATAACTCGTTGTAGGTGCTGTGTGCAGATCAAGATGATCCACTCAAGACAACAGACCAAATAAGGCCTTTGGGCTTGATTGTAAGCTTCTCGTGTTGAGCAATGCTCTCACCTTGCCGCAATGTGTAAATGAACAAGATAGTTAGAGGAAGTCTGCTTGGAGCTATTTATGGACTTCGAGTTTTTTTATTGATTCCATTCACCTTTGTCAGGTATGCAGGGGCACTGCGGTAATGCTTGTGGCTCCAACTGACGGGACTGATGAGATTCCCAATCCCTTTTTGCAACCAGATGCTGCCTAAGCACGTCAGTGTCCAGGTACAATTAGATGCATAGTTCTCACTATAGATATCATTACTTACAAGTTGTGCATCCTTTTCTCTGTTAACAAGCGGTTACGATAACGATGGAAGCAAGAATTTATCTTCTGATAGTAGACATGTCCTTGTAAATGTGTTGTAGGGGCATTGACGACCAAAGTTCCAACAATCGGTTAGCATCTTGGTAGTCTGTCTGGAACTTAAAGAACAGCCTTGCCTGATAGGTATCTAATGGTCTTCAGCGAAATAATCAACAATGAGGCCTAAATGTTTGTTTTGACAGTATATTTAGCATGATTTAGCGTCCTGAAAGTTGTTAGGCCAGTTCACCGTAAAGTTCCAATTTAGAGCGTCGGGTATTCAAAGAGTAGTAACGTCTGGAGAATCAATGTCAGAATTCGCCGAGAAGACGAGTTAATAGTACGGAACAGGTAATTTTTTATCATGCTTTATCATCTTCAAGCAGTTGAAACTCAATTCTGCAAAGGCAAAGGCAAAGACAGTTGTAATTTCCTTGCCAGTGAAGCGTAATGTCAACGGACAGGTTTGCAAATAGTGTTTATACAATGGCGAATAAAGTCAAACACTGTAGAGCATCTACTCCATATGCTGGTTGTCGAAGTGCCAACGCGCTGGAAACATTGATTGTGAGTAGTTTCTCCACGATTATTTCGAAGTAGCAAGTTGTAACTAGCTGTATTGTTTGACTCAGAAGATAATACTCGGATTTATTATTTTATCTCCATGGTTAGGCGAAAGTCCTTGTCTATCTTATTGGCGCAATTCGAGAAAATCCGGAATGCAAAAGTGGGGTGAATAAGTGCCCTTTTCGCATTCGACTCATGGCTTAGTGATGTTCGTTGCCCGTGATATTGTTGCAGATTGCTTAAGTGAACGTGATCATTGCAACACGATCGATTTATTAGATATTGGCGCTTGCAAGTACTCCCGGTAGGATTGAGGAGGGCATTGTGCTGCTAAAAATTTACAGTGCACTGGCCTTTCCCCCTTGTTTCACCAAGCCGTAAGCCACATGCTGACTTTTTGAAAATGATGCAAATCCTGACAGCTTGAGACGAAATGCCAATTGTCTCTGTACAAAAGTGGTGTTTAAAAAAAATAAATGTTCGCAGTAATTCTCTTTCACTATGGGGCATCTTCCATTTCCTGATTCCCATACCACACCAGAGAATGCTTAGAAAACCCTTGTCTAAACGTTGGCGTGCCTGCCAATATATCTGGACGAACTTACTCGACTTTGTAGATCCATTTTGAATACTCTATTTCTATTCGAAAGCCAAATGAGTCTCATCCTGGCTCATCCTCCTGGCTGGTTTGACGCCTTCCGCACCAAAGTACGAAGACCAAGCCTTTCTCTTCTCGAATTTTGGACGTAACAATATACTTGTGCCCATTGTGATAGCACCGGTGGCATGCATGTTATGAAATGTGATTCTGTGTAATTTTTTTTAATATTTAAAGAATCACTCTTAACTCGAATGTTTCAAGAACAACCCTCGGTATTCTCAAAGCTGCCTTCATGGTATATGACATACTGTGACGGTAACGGTGACCCCTCTTTAAAGGTGTGAACCTATTTACTTTGCTGGTCGAAGGTAAAACCGACCATGTCCCCTTAGATAAAGTGACATTCTGTAAGGTCTCCATCCAATAATTAGGTCAATTTGTATCTTTCTCAATTATTGCAATTATCCTATGTGTACTTAAGTTAAAAGATGCCAAATAAAAACGCACGAAGTAGGGTAAAATCTCATCAAGAAGAATGAACATGAAATCAAAGTGTTTGACATCGGTTAGTTGTAAACATTACCTCAATCGGAGAAATTAATTAATTGCATTTAAATGATTAGAGATAACTTAAGTATTCTTGTATACTTAAATTGATAGATATAGGCACACGCAGCTTCGACAAGATGGGGTAGCAATTACACGGATCATGGAGTGTTTGTTGTTCAGTTATTATTGTTATGACACTTTTCATCGGGGGTTACATTGTTGATGAACAGTCCTCTCTATATAGGGCAGATTCCGTATCTCAACAAAATAAAGATAATTCTCAAATCAAAGTACGGACTATACGGAACTTGACAGTTTTTGGTAGAATCTTGACCTAAACTGTCATGTTTTCGGTCGAATTTGTCTGCAATGTAATGCACCTTTGAAATGTGTGTTATCTTTGATCTCTGAATATATTTTTCCCAATTTAGCACGGAGAAATCACTCTCCACAAAATTGGTCAAACTAATCTTACCAAAAATTCTATGAGTTGAAGAAATCTATTCTTAAAACCTAGAATCAGACTTTTTAGTCAATAGATTTTTGTGAACTGAGAACATACATTTCATAATTTTCTTGGTTCACTATTTTATCTATGTTTTTTGTTTCCAAGAAAGTTTGAGACTATCTTGATATTTTAGAATCAATTGAATAATTTTTTGTGTTTTCAAAGTTACAGAGTTAACCAAAGAAACAAAATACTAGAATTTGCTTGGTTGAACTCATCAGGTGTAGCCGCAAAGTTTTAGTCGAGTACTCAGTTAGTTTGTCTAGTAAAATCACCCAGGCGAACAAAGAAATTGTTACAAACGATCACGGCAAAGATTTAGTTGAATATTAACGTTAGTTTCTCTAGTAAAATCACCTAGATAAACAAAGATATTGTCAAAAACGTTCACCCCAAAGTTTAAGTTGAGTGACTCTATTAGTTTTTTCTGGTAAAGACACCTAGACAACAAAGATTTTTCTTTTGAAATACGGAACTTTCTGAAAATGAAATACGACACTTTCGTCCTCAAGTTCCGTATTTGGATAGGCCTATTGATGAACAATATATTGGATTGACCAACGTGATTATTGATTAAACGGGAAACAACCAGTCAGAATTATAAATAAGTAATGTCGGTTAGAAAAATGAGTATATATATATATATATATATATATATAATGTAAATTACATTAATTATTTAATTTCTCAAATGGACATAATGTACTTTACGTTCACGATTATTTTAACATCAAGTTCCGTAGAGTCATATAATGTTGAGACTAGAACAAAAAGGATGATATAAGTGTTTATTCTTAATTCTTGGTTATTACATTCTTTATACATGTATAATTTCTTATGGTATGAGTAATTAGAAGCAAATAAAGCTTTTCTTATCTATCTAAATCTTATACCACATATATCAATATGTGGGAATCATAGATTCAGCCTAAATCTGATTTTTTCCATACTGAAACAAAAACATATGTGGATTAAAGGGAATAGATTGTAAGGTAACCAGGCATCAATCCACATAAGTGGTTGCGTAATCATCAGATATCATTTATACATTGATGTATGCTGAAAATATGACACAAATACGCATGATGTCAAACCCAAAAAATGATAGAATTATACCAATCTCATAAAAGTTGAATTCTAGGTTAAAATGATATATGTTATAATATTTAATTTGAAATAAATTTTCTTGTCATGAATTTTTTTCATTTATATTTAAATTAACATGTTTATCATTAAAGAAAATCAGCCGAAAAATATACGCAATAAAATTTAAAAAATTTAAAATAATATATCATGAAAATATAATTTTATTAATGTAAATATTCCTTTAAAAAATAATATAGTATAGGAAAAAAGAAAAAAAAATTTAATGAAAATTTTATCTAGCACTTTTTATAAATTTTAAAAAATATTATTATATCACGTAGAAATATTAATATTTTTTTTAAATGATACATGTTTTTTTTTAAAAAATGTACTATTCATATTTTTTTAAATGTTTTTGATGATTCTATTCAAACATTGATATTTTTTCCCTTGAATTTCTATATGTTATCTTTAAAGAAAATTTGATCTGAACTTTTGTTGTTGTATGATTGAGATAGATTAATTTTTTTTACATGGCAAGATATCAAAACTTTTTTTATAGCGTTTGATAGATTTAAAGTATTGAAACATTTAAAAATAATTCAAATTGAAATATTGAGATTAACTCTGGTTACTGACTAACCTCAAATCCTAGCTATAAATAGCCAGGAGGATCTCCAGTGCTTAGGTTTTTAACCTAAAGATTGATGTATTGCCAAGAGACTTCTTAGTCACACTCTCACGCGTGAGTTTTTTCCGTGTATGTAATACTCCAAAAGGTGAACCAAATATACTTTGTGTCTAGTGTGTTGGCTTAAATTTTGCTGGACTAACTTATTGTAGATAATTCCTGGTTTATCAACTTTATATTGGTATCACAACGTTCTTTACAATTCAGAGTTTGTGACTATGTTTTGGCGGCCAGAGTTGATGCTTATGATAGTTTTTCATGAAGTAATTCTGTTTTTGACCTCAATATGTGTATCGTCTCCGCGTTTTTTTGAGATAGTAGTGATAGGTCTGCATTTTGGACGGCTTTCTCTTGATGACGGTTTTTCATACAATGACAGTTTTTTTGAAGGTGACAAATCTGAGTATAACTCCTCAGTTGTACAAAAAAACAAGACAAACATGGGGACATGATTTGTGGATGCAAACACGAGAAATGAGATCAACATTTTTACAAACCACCGTCGGAAGTTGTTATAGGTGTGTGATCAGAAGACAGGCGCTAGACACAAATTTTGATTGGAAAAATGAAATTCATATCAAATTGGTCGAGGCAAACGCAAGGAAAACCAAGGACAAGCAAACGAGCGATTTGGTCAAATTTTTTTGGCGGAAAATTCAGTAGATGCCAAGAAGAATGTGTGTTGACAAAATTTCCAATGTAGACAAAGATCAAAACCGAGCAACAAGTGGAGACTATTTTCAATGACACGCAATCCTCACTAGTGTTTCCACTTCATCATATCACGGAGCCAATGATGCATATTCATAATGCGCAAAATGGTGACACATGACGCCGCCACATCAACGCAAACGCAAACGACACAACGATGAGGAGTCAATATATGACAATACCTAAGACGAACGTTGGGATGCGGTCAACTTGGAAATCGACACGTGACGTGGACAACACGTAAGTGCGCCACATAGGCTCCAAAGTCACGTATGGAGCGCCACATAGTACTGGGTTACACACGTTGGCAAGCCACGTAGTAGTGGCGTGACACGGGTAGTCTGCACATGCTTACACGAAGGCCGCCACATAGGCGTTGACGACACGCAGAGCACGCAACGTAGGCTCGACAACACACAGATGACACACTTGGCACAACACGTAGACACAAGCGACATGCTTGGCAGGCCATGCAAGCAAACCATTCTTTGCTCGGCAGGAGCGGCCAACATGAGAGTCATGCCAAGTTGGCGTGACGGAACGCATGACAAACTACATGCACAAACTCGTGATGAACAGCTAGGTTCGGGCAAATCGGGTAGCTCTGCACATATTCTGGTTGAAAATTCCATCCGTCAGGCAGATTTTTTCTGTGGAAATTATTCTATTATAAAGAATAATTTGAATGTAAATATTTTATTTGATGGAATCTTTGTCAGATTATAAGCAAATTGGATATCATATGAAAGCTTTCAATGCGACTAGTGCATATGGACACTCTTTGAGAGCTAAGATATAATCCACAAGGAAAAAAGTGCCGTGGAAGAAATTTCCGCAAAAACAAGCATGTGCACTTCTAATACAACCTTGATTGTGATCTATAGTCAGTGACATTCGAGGGATGGCAACAATTGATCGAAGGTTGAATCAGAGATAGAGATCTAGGTCTACGAGAACGAGCCATGTAAGAAAGAGTTCTCAATCTAGGGATAGATCTCTTGAGAGCAAGACGATGGCTTGTTGGAGATGTAGCAAGAGTGGCCACATCAAAGAAGATTGTCGTATAAAGATCAAAAACACAATTTTCATTCCATTTGCGAACATTGCAAGCCCCTATTGTCAAAATGTTGGATCTCAAATCACGAGATCTAGGTAGATGATTTTTGAGAGCAAGATATCCTAGTCTAGAGATGAGAATAAGAGTATCCAATATAGAAATAAATACTTTGAGATGAAGACAATGACTTGTTAGAGATGTGGCAAAAGTGATAACATCAAGAAAGACTGGAGTGTAAATGTCAAAGAGGCTACTACTTTTTCATTGGTGAATTATGCATAGAACTACGATCCCTAAGAGAATGATCTTCTGGATGATGATTTATGATGCCAAAGGGATTACAGGTTATGAGATCTAGTAGCTTGTAAGGTTGCTAGTAAGATTGTTTCTTTTAATGAGCTCATATCATTGAAAGAGAGAAAGTTTTCAGGCTCGTTGTATTGACAAGAAAATGTATCCATTCAAGTATATGGTTGTGGGGGAGTTTGATCATTATGTGATTAATGATAAAAAAAGAGCA